TTTAAGGCTGGGGGGGCCGGGCGGCGGGGCCCCGGGGGGCTAACCTCCCTGCGGTTTAAATGTGGTGGAGCCGGGCGGCAGGGCCCCAGGGGGCTAACCTCCCTGCAGTTTAAATGTGGTGGAGCCGGGCGGCAGGGCCCCGGGGGGCTAACCTCCCTGCAGTTTAAATGTGGTGGAGCCGGGCGGCAGGGCCCCGGGGGGCTAACCTCCCTGCAGTTTAAATGTGGTGGAGCCGGGCGGCAGGGCCCCAGGGGGCTAACCTCCCTGCAGTTTAAATGTGGTGGAGCCGGGCGGCAGGGCCCCGGGGGGCTAACCTCCCTGCAGTTTAAATGTGGTGGAGCCGGGCGGCAGGGCCCCGGGGGGCTAACCTCCCTGCGGTTTAAATGTGGTGGAGCCGGGCGGCAGGGCCCCGGGGGGCTAACCTCCCTGCAGTTTAAATGTGGTGGAGCCGGGCGGCAGTGCTGCAGCCCCCTCCCTCCCCATCGACTAATAGATGGAAATTCCATTGTCTACTCAGTTAGCTGATTATTGGGTTTTAACACCTTTCGTCCACAGCAGACAGTCTCTTCTAACCACTCAAACACGGGCGGGAGGGAGCCATGTTCGTCTGTAACATTAAAACCGCCGCCGGTCCTGGGCCCCTCAGAGACCAGCACACACACATACCTAGCTTCGTGAGCTTTCGTGGGAAAAGCCCACTTCCTCGGCTGAGCTTGAACGGTGGGAAAGCAAGCTCAAATGTAGGCACACAGCTTTCAAGCCTTTACCGTGGAGGTAGGTCATGTCAGACTAACTTCCAAAGCTTCCCTGCAGTAGAGCAGAGCTTCTCAACTTCCACACAGGCCAGGTGGCAGAGCGCCGGCTACCCAGACCCCCCATCCGTGGGTCCAGCTGGGAGTCCGGGCCCCCTAATCCCAGCTTGTGGCTGCCATGGACCTCTGGAGCTGCTGGGGTCAAGCTGGGCCTGGCTGGGCAGCCTTTAGCACAGCTAGGCCTCTGATAAGTCTGACTTCTCCGAGTGCCCTAGCCAAGGTAGCTAAATGCTGCAGCACGGTGGTGAGTCCCCTTCCAGGCAAGCACAAGGAAATAACTCCTGTCCTTGCTGGATTTTAGGCAGTAGGAACCTTTGAGGGCTGTAGCTTTCTTTGGCAGCGTCATTTGTGCCATGTGCTCTACAGCAGGATGCATTCCTGGGGATAAATCTGTCGGGAATCCTTTTGAAAGTTCATGTTCTAACAAGGCCATGTCCATCTTTTGGTGCTGGGGCTTTTCTGGCTTGCTGGCAGAGGGTGAATTAGAACAAATAGCTGGAGCACCGGGATTTTCAGCCAAGTGACAGACGCCTTGCAGAATTCTCCCTTGATTTCGAGTAACTCTCCTTTGTGATTGAGCAGGGAAAAAGCTGCTGAGTCTCTGGTAGTGCCATGCTCAGGGTGGGGAAGTAAATGTATTTTGTGTCATGCTGCGTGTGGCTTGTGGGTTTTGAGGCTGGCCTAAGCCCAGTCCAACAGGCATTTGTTAGTGGGTGACCTACTTCTTATGTCTCCCATGTGCACTCGTTCTAGAATAGTCTCACTAAAGCAATCGTCTCGTCTGTTGCTTTACAGAGAGCGAGCCCCTCCCTCCTAGTCTCTTCTCCTTGCATATCCCCAGAGCACTAAGCATTTTTCCCCTGTTACCACAGTGGGAGTTTGCAGTGAGGGACAGGTTGGAGCTCCCTGGTCCAGCACTCTCGGGGCCTGAGTGGTCCTAAACAAGGGTGTTTGCTGGACATGGGGAGGGCCAGGCCTTGGGCTCTCCAGGGACGACCCCCCCCTCCCCCCCGGCTGGCGTGCTGCCTCCTGGGCCACAGATGTTGCCAGACCAGAAAGTCCTGGACCATGGAGCTTCAACCTGTAGCATTGGCTGCAAGTTTTCCCTCTGCTGAGCTGAATTTGAGGGCCAGGCAGCTCAGGCCCTGGAAGAACAGGGCCAGTGGCAGGGCTCAGGCTGGGATGTGTAATAGCCCAAGTGCGGTTTTATCTGTCCGGCCACATGGCACGTCTCAAAAAGCCTTTTCAATTCCGACACCCTCATTGCTCAAGTCTGCTAACCTGAAGATCTAAGCTACTTCGGGGTCCTTGTCTGGCTGATCTGGTCTATGCCTTGGAGGCACCGGGAGAAGGGAGAGGATGTGGAAAAGCAACAATAGCATCTGGCACCTAATCCGAATGGAACATGCACATTTGCTGAGGTTATTTATGTGCTGAAGTTGGTTTTTTGTTTTAAAGCCTGCCTGTGTCCCCTCTTCTTAGAGCCTCTTGGCACCCCTGCTGCACCCCTCTCAGCCTCTGCTCTCCTGGACACCTCCACTTAGGAACCAAGATACAGCTCTTCTAGCACCCAGAGGAGATTCCCTTCCCCGCCCGCCCAGCAGTTCGGTAGCTGCATGCTGCACTAATAGTAACGTGACACATGGATAGTACTTCCATCTTCAAAGCGCCATCTCATTGGGAACTAAACACCCCATGGACCAAAGTCCTTATTCCCCACGGGCTGAATGACTTGCCTCAGGCTACACATCACAACGGCCGAGTCAGGAGTTCATAGCTCCCGCTCCTGGCTCGTTCCATCAAAGCCTGATGGAATTTGTGCTGCTCCTGGCCCCCCAGGCAGGCCCCATCTTGATGGGTTGGGTGTTGCCAAACCACGTGGGGTCGCGGCTGTCAGATGAACGCGGTAGTTAATGGGACGTGCTCTTGGCAATACTGGAAATGTTGCCATCCTTAGAGACCTTGTTAAAAGCCAGTCCAAGGCCGATGGCGTCCAGACTCCTTCGGTTGGGCTGGCTGGCTCTCGTGTGCTTGTCTTCAGAGAGTTTTCGAAATGGACTCGCTCGCTCTTTGCTCGGGAGGAGGTGGGTTAACGGCTTCTGCTCTCTGAGAAATTGCTCCTCAGACTGGTCAATTCCTCTGGGAATTAGAAAGAGAACTGTGGCTCTCCTGCAGCATCGGCTCCTTCCCTAGACTGGTGCCCCTCGTTAGGCATGCCGGGCTCCCTGACCGAGTGTTCTCAGGTGGGGGGTGAGACCCATCAGGACTCCACCCCCACTCAGGCTGGCAGGGGGCATGGAGCAATTGTACCATCAGAAGAGGTTTGGGAACACTCCTAACAGCTGGGTGGGCTGGCATAAGAGTGCCAATCTGAAGAGTCCTAGGAGGGCTCCACAGATCCAGGAGGGCAGAATGCTTGAATGGATCAGGCTGACTTGCTGCACTGCCACCATTTGAAAACCATGAGTAGGCCTGTAGCACTGTAGAGACTAACAACAAATAAATATAATCATGAGCTTTCGTGGGCACAGCCTACCTCCGCAGAGGAGTGTCTGTCCGTGCTAGTGCTGGCGCTAAGGAGGCTGGGTGGCTGCAAGGGTCCTGTACTTTGCTTTTGACACCAGTTGGGCGTCGGATGTAAGGAAAGCAGGTTTTCTAATGGGCCGTCCAGTTCAGGTTTGCTCAGGCCACCAGAGACGGGGTGAGGGTCAGTTCTGCACACTCTTGTGGAAGAACGGCTACTTCAAAATCCATGTGAACGCTGTCCAAACAAGTCTGGTGGTGGCGTGGGAGGCTGGGAGCAGTGCCCACAGCAGTAACCCTGCTTCCTTCGGTCACTTCGCAGGCCATTGAGAATATCGACAGCCTGACTAGCCTGGACAGCCTGTTCCTGGGAAAGAACAAAATCACGAAACTCCAGAACTTGGACGCGCTGACGAACTTGACAGTGCTCAGTATACAGGTATTGATCCTCCGGGCGCCCCGAGCCGCCTCAGCAAGGGCCGCCTGACGCAGCAGCGCTGTGCTCCTTTCCACGCGAGGCTGCAGCATGCTCTGTGCTCTGCTCTCTGGCATGCCCTTTGCAGTTGGACCCGCCAGCACGTTGATAAGTGCATCAGATGGGTGTCTCTTCCCACGCTGGCGGGGGGGGACTGCTTGGGCTGAGATGAGCGTTACTAGCTCCTGTTGAGAATCAATCAGGCTGACCAGTCCTTGCTGTGTAATGAAAGGCGCTGAGGAGCAAGCAGGTTTTTTACTTTCATAATGGGCCCAGAGGAGCCAGGGTTATGGACACCCCCCCACCCCTCCCAGGCTACAGGTGCCGGGGCTGAGCCCTGGCAAGCCCTAGCACAAATGAAGCACTGACGGTGACACCCCTGGCCCAGCAGCAGCGCCGGAAGGACTGCTTTCCCCTTGCTGCAGCTGTGGAAGAGCTCTCCTCTCCCCAAACAGCGCTGCCGTTTGACACCAAGTGTCTCCCTTCTAACATGCAGCGCTAATGCAAGTAGTGAAAAGCCAGTGAGCGGAAGAACAGCCATGGCAGGGCAGACCAGCCAGGCATCTGGCTCAGTCTCCTGTTCTCCGCCAGTGGCCAGTGCCAGGTGCCCCACAGGGAATGAACAGAGTGATCTAATCCTGGTCGCCCTTTCCCCGTCCCGGCACAGGGGCTCAGGACACCGTCCCTGCCCATCCGGCTAAGAGCCATTGGTGGACCTGTCCTCCATGAGCTTATCTAGCTCTTCGTTGAGCCCTGTTAATGTCTTGACCTTCACAGCTCCCCTTGGCAGAGCGCTCCACAGGTTGGCTGTGTGTTACGGTGAAGAAATCCTAGAATACTAGGACTGGAAGGGACCTCGAGAGGTCGAGTCCAGTCCCCTGCCCCCATGGCAGGACTCAGTACTGTTTAGACCAGTGGTTCCCAAAATT